CAACTAAGGCAAAAAATGTAATTAATTCAGAAAATCTTTTCAGGACCCCACCTTGATGTTTCAGGACCCAACTTTGGGTCCCGACCCCAACTTTGGGAAACACTGGTCTAGCTCATGGTTTATTTCAGATGTGTTGAGTGGACAGAGGTTTGTGTTCCACGCTTCAGTTCAGCATTAACCTGGAAAATCACACAGTCATCTTATTTGAGCTGAAATCAAAATTATTTACAGATCTGAACAGATTGTTTTATTCACAATAGGATGCCCAAACAGAGTAAACAACACATGATTTTCTTTTCTCCTGATTCAGAACCACCACGCTCCCTCTGGTGTCCACTAGGTGCCCCTGCTCATTTTCCAACAAATTCAGAAAACAGCCAGATCTCCAAACTTCTAAAACCCAAACAGGAATAATGAAGAGAATTAGCTTAATGTGCAGATTATTTCTGGAACATTTTACACRAATTTGCTTCTGTATTTGAACTTTTGAGGTTAAATTGACTTTTCTTTGTGGCAAAGATTGAGCAGTACCTCTCTGAATGAAAAGGTGTGTGTTTTTGTGCTTCAGGTGTGTGAGCTGGACATCATTTTTAACTTTGAGAAGGCCTACTTCATCCTGGATGAGTTCCTGATGGGTGGAGAAGTTTTAGAAACGTCCAGGTTTGCTGTGGGTGGGTCTATGGAGGAGGCCGACACACTGCAGGAGGTAAAGTTCACACCACTTCTTCAACTTTTCCACATGTTCTCTAGTATTTTACTGGAAACGTACGTGATGGACAAACACAAAGCAGCAGCATCAGGGCCGGCCCTAGCCAATWTGGCCCCCTRKGCAAGATTTCAGGTGGTGCCCTCTTGTGCAATTTTCTAAATCTCACTGCCAATTTCTGTACATTCACATACCAAATTAAATAGTTTTGTTATTGATATTATTAAATATTTTCTTGTGCACCGTTTGTGGTGCCCTCTAGTTGGATGGTGCCCTTAGCATTTGCCTTTACCGGCCCTATGCTGTGGGGAGGCTTTTCTTCAGCAGGGACAGTGAAGCTGGTCAGAAATGATGGGAGGATGGATGAAGGAAAACACAAGGCAATCCTGGAAGGAAATCTGTTACAGGCTGTAAAARAATTATACTGGGGCGAAGGTGTGTTTTCTAGCAGGACAAGAAACTGAAAAACCCAACTAGAGCACAATAGAAAAGATCAGATGTGTCAGAAT